TTGGGAAACTTTAGTTGTCTCTCTGAGCAATTCGGAGAGGGGATGTGCTATTGGAAACTAGCAGTGGTAGCAGGTTACTTCTTAGAGGTGTCAAACATGTTCCTGGTATGAGCTGCAGCTTGATTTCTGTTGGAAAGCTTGATGAAGAAGGATATCAAAATCACCTTGGAGATTGCTGTTGGAAACTGAAAAAGGGTTCTCTTGTTTTAGCCAGAGGGAAGAAGACTAATGGTCTCTATAGAACAGAAGTATATATACTTAGCTTAATTCATTATGAAGTGCATTTTCATTATTGTCCACTTTACTATCTCATGCACATATTTTTTTTTTACGAGTTTTTTACTTTAGCATTGAATGGACTGTGGGAACAACTCCTTTAACCTTCTTTGTCGCTTGTTCGAAGGTCTTATTCGTGTTACTTCACAGCTCGAGATTGGGCCTCTCGTAATATGATTTTTGGTAACATCATATATTATGTGATGATTACTTTATCTAAAGTTAAAAAGTTGTTTCATCTACTAAACAATTTAACATAAATAAAGCCAAGTACGTAATACTTGCCCTTGTTGAGCCCCATTAATTGGTAAAAATAGATTTTAGAATAATGATTTTTTGGAAAATGTGTAGTTGAAAAATAGGAAAAAGTTTTTGGGTTACTTGTAAAATTATTTTATTAAGAAAATATGGGATTGAAAATGAGTTTAAAAATGCATTATTGAAAAATAAGACTCAAACAACAGCTTAGAGATGGAAAGAAAATATATCAAATACACAGTCAGGATAATTGCAGCAACGGTACCAAATCTTTCATCAAGTAGCAGACTTTATCCAAACCTTTCATTTATGTCACTCACGGTACCAAGCGTTTCAAAATATCGTAGCTGAAGTCCAAATTGATGGCTTCTATTAGTTTGATCGTTAGTTGACCAAATAATTGATTTTGACAATAATTTTGACTGATTCTAAAAGGTTAAAATGGTAATTTTAAATTTTTTAAATAATAAAATAATCAAAATCAAATAATTAAATTAAAAACCCATTCCACCTTCATCACCCCACCCCCATCTCCACATTCTCCTTCTCTTCCACTGCCAGCGTCGACGTCACTATCAATATGTCACCGTCCTTCGCCACCTCCAGCTTCACGGCAACGACAAATTCATTCTCGGTTGCACTTCTTTCACATTTATTTGTCAATACTCGGAAGTTCGAATTTTCAATACGTAACTGTCTTCATAATTTCAGTAGATGAATTTAGAAACTGGTGTTGAGCTACATTAAAATTAAAAGCCAGAAAAAAAATATTAAATTAAAGTGTTCCAAATTCCATCATTTCCCATCAAAATATCCAAAAAAAAATCCACCCAAAAGAGGATTTTTTTTTTAAAACGGAAATGGTGAAATTGGTACCATACTAGGACAGCCCGATGGGCAAGGATGGAGGGAAAATTGGACTGAGGATCGGCAAAATCAGTCGAACTAGAGGCTATTAATACAACATCGGAGAAGGCCAACGTATTAGACCTGGAAATGGGGATGGTCCCATCAGAACCAGCGGAGAATAGCCGGAGGAAATTGACCTTGGCCTTGAGGTCCTCGATCTCGCGCTTGAGCTCCTCATCCGTCTTATCGGCCTCTCCGTAGCACTCCCTGTACGTGCCGGCATCACATGCCACGTACTCCTCATTGCACGAAAGGCATTTCATCTTTCCCCTCCTTGCAACATCTTCGTCGTAGTCTTCGTCTTCCTCCTCGTAGCCAAAGTTTATGTCAGAGTCTGATGGAAATCGTGGCCCGCCGATGCTGGCGGTGGAAGAGAAGGAGAAGATAAAGGTAAAGGTAGGGATGGGGAAGTGGAATGGGTTTTTAAATTTAATTATTTGATTTTGGTTATTTTGTTATTAAAAAATGTAAAATTACACTTTTTAATCTTTTTAAAATAAGTCAAAATTATTGTCAAAGTCAATTATTTGATCAACTAACAGTCAAACTAACAGAAACCATATATTTGAACTTCAGCTGTGATATTTTGAAAGGTTTGGTATCGTGGGTGACACAAATGAAAGGTTTGGACAAAGTCTGTTACTTAATGAGTGGTACTGCTATTGCAATTACCCTTAATTTGTTTCCTAGTCGGATGGATCAACAGACCCACATTGAATGAAGCTTCTGAAAAATCCAGGGTGTCACGTGAACACCCATTGGGCCACGGCCCACACCTGGTTTTGGGGTGCCAAAATGCGGGAGGCAGTGGGCCAGTGGCTAAACCCATATCCACACCCACGTGCCTCACTTGTACTTTTGCTCTACAAAACGACATAGTTTCACAAAGAATCAATTGTAGAGGACAAAATAGAGATAAAAATAAAAGAATAGGGCCCGCTAGTAACTGTAGTTGGAAGTATATTGAGGAAACCTGTTGGCTAGCTATTGGTTGCATTGATGAGTCATAAATGGATGTCAAGGATAAGATTGCCACCTGCCCCTCGTCCTGGCACATGAACGAGATATTCCAATATTTCGCGATATGTAGCTTGCACTTTTACAATTAGAAATATTGCTATCTAAGTGGCTTTCATTTGAGTGATTTAAAGGAAAAGCTTTATTTCATTGAAACTATGTATAGTTAATTATAATATGTTATGGTTTTAACTTAAATTAATTACACGACTAATTGTAATAAATTAATAATTACTCCAATTTGTCCAATCTTTGTGTGACTATAGTACTATAATGAGAGAATTTTTTTTTTTTTTAAATCTAACCCAAATATTTAGAAAAAGATTAAAGAAATATGAAGTGTCTAATATTGAAATAGGTCAAACAAGAGGATAAAAATAATGAATTGAACTTTACAAATATAAGCCAATAAACAATAATAATTACTCTTTCTCTCTCACCCAGATTTCTCAATAAATTTGATATCGAATCTAGAGACTTTGACTTAAATTACATTTCAGTGTACATACATAGGTGGATAGAAAATTTGCTTTCATATCAGCAGAAACCATCAATTCTTGAGATCTTCTTTTTGCAACTCTTAAATGTTAGAATTTGAATGTGACCCGAATTTCTTATTAAAATAATTAAAAAAAATTAATTAAAGTGCACATCAAGAGAAATTTAGTTGGAATTCTATTGGAGTTTTATTCAAGTTAAAATTTTATTTGAAAACCCCATTGTGAGTTTGAATTTGTATTGGACTTGAAAATGTTAAAATTATAGACCAGGAAGAAAAATCGATGCATCTTCGCTAGCCTACCGCTTGAGCAGCACCTGCAGGTTTTCTTCCAAAACTTGGTCGCTCACCTATCTTCCGCCTAGCGCTCGAGCGACGGATTATCCGGTCCAGACCCTTTTTGTGTTTTAACACGTTTTTGGTATTCTACTTCAAGTACAACTTATCTATTAGGGTCTGAACGTCGTCCTACATAGTTGTCTATATATACTTGACTCTTCTATACAATTTTATAATGTGAAAAAAGTGATTACTAGCTTTTAAAATTATTATAATATTTTCTTCATCTTCATTATTTGTGATACAATAAAATTTAATAATTCTTCTGCCATATTTTCTCGTCTTCTTTTATTCTTTTACTTGCGATCATATACTACATATTTTTCCATATAACTTCAACATCTTAATCGGTAGTTGGTTTCATATCAAGTGGTATCGAGCAATACGCGATCCTTGAATTTTTCACAATTGGTATCAGAGATTTTGGGCATAATTAACACAAAAAGTTGTATCAGAGCCTAGTTTCAGCAGTCCCGCAAGAGCGCTGGGTTTGATTTGTTCCAGGTTTTTGTTCATGATGGTTTCCATGAAGTATGACATTCCGCTTTTGAATCAGAGCACTAGATTTTCGTTATAGCAGGTTAAGATGCGTGTGGTACTCGCACAACATGATTTAGATGATGCGTTGTTGGAAATTGACAAGATGCTCACAATTTTGACAGTGGAGAAGAATTTACGGAAGGATAAGAAGACACTTTCTCATATTCATCTTCATCCCTCGAATAAAATTATTCATGACGGTTTGAAGGAAGGTGTAGTAGCTGTTTTATGGTTGAAATTGAAGAAATTGTGCATGACCAAAAGTCTAACAAGCAAGTTGCATCTCAAGCAACGTTTATACTCTCATTGAATGGCAGAAGGGGGATCATTAGAAGATCATCTGGCTATATTTAAGGAGATAGTCGCTGATTTGGAAACTTTGGAAGTAAAGTATGTTGAAAAAGATTTGACCTTGATCATATTGTGTTCGTTGCCCACTTCGTTTTCTTTATTTAGAGACACGATCTTATATAGTCGTGATACTCTCACCATACAGGAGGTGTATGATACTAAGGATTGCTACAAATTTCAAAATAAAGAAAGGTTGGTTGCAAGTCAATATGGAAAGTAATCAGAGACTTCATGCGAAGTAGACCTCGTAGAGAACGTTGTAAGTGGATGAGATCTCTTTTTTTATTTCTGACATCGAGTCTAAACCAGAGGAAGATTGAATTTTGGATTCAACGTGTGTGTTTCATATGTATCATAATAAAGACTTGTTTACTACATATGAAACCGTTTTCAAAAGTGTTGTGGTTATAGGAGACAACACACCTTGTCGAGTTACTGGAATTGGAACGGTCAGATTGAAGCTATTGGATGGAATAATTAGAACACTTGCCAGGTTCGACATGTCTCGAATTCGAAGAAAAATCTCATCTTATTGTTTATCCTTGATTCAAAGGATTATGAGTTCTTTGGTGTAGGTGGAGATTTGTGCCCAGGTTATATTGGAGGAATAGAAAATGTCTCAATTATACATCTTGTAGGGTCGTACAAAATCTAGAAAAGTCAATCAGCACAGGTTCAGTACCGTGGTGGACATTCAGTTTGGTACAATACCTTTAGAAGTTCATAAAGGGTCGAATTTGAAAAATACAGTTCAGTAAACTTCAAGAGATATAGATAATGTCGCTTTGCCACATTCACATGCAGTGCCATTATATTCTATTTCTTGAAATCTAATTATAAGGAACCACATCCGTATCCCAGAAATATCAGACTTTTCAATTACGCACATCATATATTTCCTAAAGAACTAAGCTCAAAAAACTTGTTGATAAAGAGAAATTGAAGAGTTTTCCAAGGCGGTGGTCAGACATGTTCTAAAAGGAAACTCAATTATCAAACAAAGAAGT